ACAAGCCCCAGCCGGGGGGGGTGCGGACGGGAACCTTCCCTGATGCAATAAAGCCTCCAGCTTTGTTTCCTGGATCAGCTAGCTCCCCTCAGGCCTAGCCTGGAGCCAGGCCAGGCGCTCAGAGCGGGCCAAGGCCAAAGGCTCCAGGCCAGCTGCCCATGTCTGTTCAAAGGCTGCCTCCCTGGGGCACAGCAGGCCCCAGCCCAGCCAACACGCGGGCCGGGGGAGGGCCCTCGGCCCCAGCACCCATCCCCCCCACCTTGCCAGCACGCAGCACCCCGCCTCCGTCCCCCCAGCTGGAAAGGGGGTGCGCCCCTCCTTCGCGGCGGCACCTGGGAACTGGGCTGCAGCGGGGGGTAGAGGGGCCCGGGGCCCGCCAGAGAAAGGCAGGACGCCGGGTCACTCGATAACCTGGGACCAGTGAGGAAACCCATTGGCCTCTTGGCAACGCTGGCTCAGCCTCTGAGCTCTAGGGCAAGGAGGGAGCCGCCAGCGCTGCGGCTCGGCCCCTGCCCTGTATCTGCTGGTGCCAGGCCCGGCTGGGCGCCCTTTCCCCTCCAGCCTGAGGCCGCACAAGGGGAGGGGGATCCGAGGCCCTGGCCTGGAGCCCCCAGCTCCGGGCACCTTCACACAGAGCAGAGGCCCCTCGAGCCAAATGACCCCCCTGACCCCCGTATTTTGGCTTCTCCCGCTCGGTGCTTTAGGGGCCGGGGCTCCCTGGAGCGCTCTTGCCCTGGACGCCCTGGCCTCAGGGCCCGGGGCAGCAGGCCAGGCCCCTCACTCTGGCTGGATGCTGCGTGAGGCTGAGCCAGGCCTGTGACAAACCCAGGCGCTGTGGGCCCAGCTGGCCCTTTGCCCGGGCCGGGGGGAGGAGACGGTCACTTAGAAACTGCCAGGCAACGGCCGGCCGCATTGACCCGGGCAGGCCAGGCCTCGTCCGGGGGGCAGGCGCCCACCTGCCCGGGGACACAGAAGGGCCAGTGTGAGGGAGGCCGGCGCACAATGGGAGGCAGGGCCAGGGCCGCAGATGTCTCGGCTTTGGAGAGCCAGGGCCCCTTCTCCCTCAGCCTCCCGGCGGCAGCTTTGAAATGACCCAGGAGCTGGCTCGGCCCCTCCAGGCTGTGGCCACCCCCAGCCTGCCCAGCCCCAGGCCCAGCCTGCTCCCCTTTGGACAGGGCGGGTGCCGAGGCTCCGTGTTGTGTGGGGAGCTGAGCAGGGCCCAAGCCGGCGGGTCGGGTTCCTGGCTGCAGCTCTGGGGGCAGGGGGAAACACACCAGGCAGGCAAACGGCCCCGGAGCCAGGGCTGGACAGTCTCAGGCATCCAGCCGCGAGGTGCAGGGCAGGCCGAGCAGGGGCTGTGGAGTCAGCAAGGGCCTTACACCAAACGTAAGGGTGCCCGGCCCCACACCGGCACTGCCCCCCACGCGGAAAGGTCGCTGCCATGGCAAGAGGGGCAGGGGAGCCCCCACCCCTCCTCAGCC